ATCTAACCTGAAAGAAAAATTTGCAATTCTCTTTTTTATAAACAATCAAAAAATGTCCTTCAATCTCATACAGGATAAATTCCCTCCTGGTTGTCCAACATTTTACATATTCAAGATACTTAATAAAGTCTCTGCAGATAGATGTGGCACTTATTTGCTTAGCATGCTAATCAGTTCATATCCAGTAGGCTGTTTTAGTCTTTCATTTTTTCCAACACATGAGACCTATAGCAGAAAGTATATTTCTCCTAATTCCTTTAATTTCCTTAGACTAGCAAGGTTTATCAAGAGTGTGACAGCGGTCAAATTGATAGATTAGTTTAGGTCCGTTTTCAACAGCTCATCAGAAACTTCTCAACCCATGGAGTCTGCTAATGAAGCAAGAATAAACTTCTTAGTGGCAATGAAATTATGATGACTGCAAATTTTGCCACAGATATTCTGGCTGTTCCATTAATATTGAGCATTAATAGGCCAATTAACATTGTATAACCATTAACATGTAATACATGTCCTAGAGTTTCAGGGAGTGAAGCCTAAAATTAGCAGTTTATTTCATCACACAGAACAAGTTAGAGATATTCATGTACTAAATGTTTTCCATTTATAACTTACTTCTTAAGTGGTAACACACACACACACACACATACACACACACACACACATTTAAACAGGTTTAAGAAATAGGAGAAATTAAGAAGTTGTTGCTTTGATATCTAATTCTATATACTGCTTCCCTTCACAATAAAAGAACAAATGTGATTTCTCGGTTACTGTACTAACTTATTCATCAGAATATTTTTATATCTCTCTTTTATTCTTAAAAAAACACTGGCTTAGACCAGGGAAACTCAAAAGTGAGATCAAGACAGTCATGCCTATGTAGAGCAAATATTATCAGTTTTATTGTGGGAAATTTTATTGATACAGAGATTTTCCCCCTCAAATGATACTTAAGAATATAATCCTTATTTTGAGACCAAATTTTTGTAATGGGGCTAATAGCCACCACCCACTAGCACAGGTGTACCACTTGTGAAAATATTTTGAACTTTTATATTATAATATTTGGTAAACATTTTCATTACTCTCAGTCTACCTCCCATTCCTCATGTTCTTTCTCTTTCACACTTCTCTTCAGAAGGCGTGCGAGGACCTCACCTCTTCTGCCAATACCTCTTTATCTCTTCTGCTAGGGCCTTTGTTCTACCAGGTCATAAATATTTTAAATATCACTCCTTGTTAAGTTGCCAAGTTAATAAGTATATTCTTCAACAATCTATGCACTCTTGTTACTGCTAAACAGTATCTGCTTGCTAAGTTTGCTATAAATATTTGTGAGATTCAAAATATGTCTTTTATCTAAGCAAATATAAAATAGGCTTATTTAAACAAATCTGTCATTGATATTCGGTGTTTCTGATTGCCTTTTGTTTCTTCATCTAATGTAGACACAATCTGACTGTTTACTCCCTGCATTGCTACTTCCCTTCTCGAAGCTGTTATGATGGTTGCACTATGACAACCTCCTCCTATCTCGTCTCCAGGCTTTACTCTTGTGTTCTTGCAGCTGCATTTTCGAACACTGCACAGATTCTTCCTAAAAGGAAGCCAAATCATGCTACTTACTTTCTGGAACCATACAATCTCACCTATCTTGTCCAGACTAAATGGAAAAGTACACACAGTAATTTTCAAGAACTAGCTGGTCTGACCTTCTGGAATCTCGAATTAGCTGACCTTCTTAAATCACTTCTGAGTACTCTTTTCTTTATTTACTAACAGTACACTGACCTCTTTGCTCTTCCCTGAGCATATCAGCCATGCTATTGTCTTAGTTTCTTTGTACTGGCTGTTCCTCCTGACATATGCAAATATTTTATAAACTTTTAAAGCCAGGGCATTGGCTATCAAAAATAGGCATATATATGTATATATGTGTGTGTCTATATATTATATATTTCTGTCTATATATTAAGGCCTATTTTATGTATATATATATATATATTAGAGCTATGTATACATATACCTAGATATATTAAATTAATTGGCATAGGGGGTATAGGATGGGGAGGGATTCTAAATACCATCAAATTATATTGTATGACAATTACAAAAATTCAATTAAAAAATAAGCAGAGTAACCTTCCTCTGTGTATCTTCAGAACACTGGCTTTTTTTTGTGTCCATCTAGAGGACATTTTGCCCATATAGTTGCATAGCTAATTCTTTTATTTCTTTAAATCTTTGCTTGTCCAGGGTCTTTCATGAAGTAGCACCACAGTAAATTATGACTGATTTAAAGCATGGTGGTTCATATATAAAAATTTCTTAAACACATTTGCCAACATCATTGAACTTCCTGTTTAATGAAAAAGTCTAATAGTAGTAGTCATTTGAAGAATGACTTCCAATAGAATAGCTAATTCTTTTATTTCTTTAAATCTTTGCTTGTCCAGGGTCTTTCATGAAGTAGCACCACAGTAAATTATGACTGATTTAAAGCATGGTGGTTCATATATAAAAATTTCTTAAACACATTTGCCAACATCATTGAACTTCCTGTTTAATGAAAAAGTCTAATAGTAGTAGTCATTTGAAGAATGACTTCCAATAGAATATTTAATAAAAGGAGCTATTTTCCCCAAATGTGCTCCTATTTCTCCATCAAAGTAGAAAAGCAATATAAAATATAATTTATCATATGTAATAGCAATTAAAATTTTTATGATGTCTTGACCCCTTATTTTAACAGATGTAAAGAAAACTATAAAATTATTTCAAGGTTCTACTTTTCCTGTAGAATAGGAGTCAGCTTGAAAATAACTTAATGTAGACAATTTATGAATATGTTCTCTGAGAAGTAACACAGAGGCTCAAAATAAAGAGTTTCTAATAAACTCTTTATTTAAACCACATAGCCGCTTAAAGCCTCACCATATAATGCTACTTTTAAAACTTGTTTTTCCCTTTCCCCTTTCTTTTCGCTTTGCATGTCTGGACCAAAGATAAGGATACCTTCCATTAAATAGCATAAACAACATGCTATGAGATGCAGAGGACACAAACCCAAACCCAGTCACAGTGTAATGGTGAGGGCTCACTCCAGAAACTGAGTATGTTTTCACAAGAGTGTACTTACTCTACTGTTGATGGAGGTTACACTGCGAGCACTTGGGGCCGGTGACCTCTGAGTGACACCATTGCTGCGGGTGCTTTTTGATGTTCCTGGTGCATTCTCCTGATCGATGACGTTGGAGGAGCCGGCACTTCCCCTAAATGATATGACAAAGCACATTCCAATGTTCAAAGACATAGGCCAGGAAATGTCTATGAGGAAAACGATGGGGACATGCAAATCACACCAAGTTCACAAGAGTCACACTGTAAATGTTCAGGAGCTTTCATGATATCTCAAAACCTGTAGGAGTTCCCTAGGTTTCATCCCATGTATCTGACTCCACTGTCTTTGAATTGATCTTCATCCTACCATTCCAAGGCTATCTCTCTTAGTTTTCACTTGCACACTCAGTCATTCCGTATTTCTGGCTATTATTCTCTCATTTGACTAAATTCACTAACAGGCATTTGCTCCAATTTTCCTTCCCTATTTATACCCTCTTTGCCATTCTTCATCCATGCAAATCTTCTCCTTCAAATATAGAAGTTCTGCCATCTCCATCAGACTTTTCCTGCCATGCACATGCCTTGTCAATCTCATTCTACTCAGTTTATTGTTCGTTTACAGATTTTGCCAACCTATTTACTATTTGACTTGGCATCCTAAGTTATCATCTACATACATGAGCCTTGGTGTTCTCGTTGACTGTGTGCTCCCGGATAATAAAGTTCATTTTGTACTTACATTGGCATTTTCTGCCTCTTCCTTGGTACAACGTCACTCAGGTATATTTAATCAAAGATTAGATTATGTTTAATTTCTCTGTTCTTTTAGTGTCTGATTTATGGTGGATATTTAGCAAGTATACTATTAGAAATAATGCTGTTGGATAAATGGGCTTGAATTACTTTTATGTTTGCTAAAATGATTCAGTTCCATTCAATGAAAAAAGTACTCCTTGCTCTTGTGATGATCACAACATTCTTATTAAATGGAGCCAAGAAATACATAATTGTGACAAATTAGAATTTAAAAGAAGTATTTATTCTTACTTTATTTCTTATTCCAAGAAATACCCAAATAGGCTGGTAAAACTTAAGTTTATATGATGTTTGCTCTTTCAATTATTACTTTCATAAGCTATAACAATAAGCATAAGCATATGACTGAAAAAGAATACCAATAATAGTTAACAGCAATCAGGGCTCACAGTTGAACCAAGTGGAGGGGAAAATAAATGGAATAAAGACAAAGGTTAGAGTTTTGTTTTTTGGGGTTTTTTGTTTGTTTGTTTGTTTGTTTGTTTGTTTTTGAGGCAGAGTCTCATTATTTAGCCCAGTCTGCCCTGGAGCTTGCTATGTAGACCAGGCTGGCCTCAGACTCACAGTGATCTGCCTGCATCTGTCTCCTGAGTGCTGGGATTAAATGCATGTGCTGCCATACCCAGCAAAGAAATAATTTTAACAACATCTGACCTTCTACATATTATGACCACAAAATAAATCTTGCAGAAGACTAGGCAATCTCCATCTGAACTACCAAGTACAACTCATGACTATTTTTCAAGACTGTGAACTAAAGAAGCCACCAAAGGAAATATTCCTTCACTGATGTCACCAGACACCATCACCTTTAATAATTATGCAGATAGAGCAACACTAACTATCTTAGATAAGAGGTCTTAGTGAATTTCCATTCCCCTGATATCCCTGTAATAAAAGGTATTAAGAACCCTATTTTAACAATGAGGGAAATGATCCTTAGTGAAATTAAATAGCGAGTAAGGCATGGTGTGGCATATCTGTAGCTACAGTACTCCAGAGGATGAGACAGTAAGATCTTGAATTTGAGGTCAGCATGGACTATATAGTGAGATTTTATCATAAAACAGAAAGTGAGAGGAGAATAATTATGCTTGTCCCCTTAAGTAGTCTTTCATTCTAATCTGAGAACCACTGAAATGGGGATAGGAGAAGGCAGTGGTAATGAAGAATGTATATATATATATATATATATAGAGAGAGAGAGAGAGAGAGAGAGAG